CCCTTGATCTGGAAAGTTCGACTGTGGAGGCAAACCCGTCTTTATTTCTTAAGGTCTTCAGGTTTGTTGTGCTGTTTCCGGACGTTCAGGACCCTTCAGAAGATGATTTAGTATTGATCAGCTGACTCTGGTAATAATAATTCAATCATTCAATCATATCAGGAATATCCATGTGAACGCTTGAACAGTCAAAGTCTTTGGTTGTCTTGATTAAAAAAAAAAGATATTCAGAATTATTGAAACTGCTGGCGAGTGGTTCACCTGCACTTGATTATTGTTATTGAATATTATTAGACAGGGCTGTGGCGGCGCAGGCAGGGCACCAGTTGGCGTTCAGTATTTGAGTTGTCTGTAAGCCAATAGATCGCTGAGTTTGTGACAGTCTGAATTCTTGACGATCAGGCATGAAATTGACTGGGCTGTCTCCATTATTAATCATACACAGCTCAGTGTTCTGCTTCTGATCAGTGTCAATGAAATGTTTTTAAAATTCCCTTTATAATGGAGTTCCACTAGAAGTGTTTTTCTATACCAGGTTTTAAAAGGACTTTCTGATTGATTTTACATGCACGCAAAGTTTCAGGTGTTCTTTTATTCTGGAAAGGGTTCATTCCTGATATTAATCAATAACATATAAATCACAGGGACATTTTATCATGTCCAGCAGATATCTCACGTCAGAGAGCCACAGAAAGAATGAACAAATATTGAGAAATGATTACTTCTATGTATAGTCAATATGATAACATTTGAACTAATATCGGATAATTGATTAATTGATCATTTTTTGTCACATTCAGAATACACAGGAAATTGGAATGTGCATTATTTCGCATCTATCCATTGATTCCCCGATCAGCTTTAAATGTTTTATCAACAGTATCAATAAACAGATATTTATTGATTATTATATTATTATTATTATTTATGACTTTTACATCAGGAAACAATGTTAAACAATTCTATCTTTTTTTAAAGATAATCAGATTAATCATATTAATCGTTCTGGTATTAAAAATCATGCAGGTATTTCTGTAGTTTGGTGAATATTGAATATTTGAATGATTGGATAAGAGTTTGTCACACACAACACTACACCGCCTGACTGGTGGGTCAGCTGATTTCAGCATCATTATTAATCAATAACAGCTGAGAAGGGATAGAAACATGAAAGAAATGTAATTGTTTTATTTTCTAATTGGTTTGTTGTTTGTTTTGATGGAAAGACTCGCTTCTGCTTCATCTCCTCACTAATATAATATGATGAATTAAATCATATTTATTGATCACTCTGACTCTCTTCTTTTTCTTCGTGAACCTCTGAATTCTTTCTCCAGGCCTTGAATCTTTCTCCAGGACCTTATGAATCTTCTTCCAGGACCTTGAATCTTTCTCCAGGACCTTGATTCTTTCTCCAAGGACCTTGTAATTCTTTTCTCCAGGACCTTGTACTTTCTCCAGGTCTTTAAATAATGGTCTGGAAATTACAGGTGGATTAATAATATCATGAAACCATTATTAACCATTGAACATTTGCCATTGTGGGTAACTGCTTTCCCCCTGCAGGGACGATGAGGGAGTCAACTGCCCCAAGCAACACTGGATGATAGTGTAAAACTTTATTGATCCTCTGACATCCTGTTATGCGCTCACTTCAGGTCTGCATTGAATGGTGGTCCAGTTATACCTACATGAACTACAAACATTCCCATGAGCCTCTGCCTGTGTTTAGGGGCCGGAGTATGACTTTGTCCCTTCAGACAGGAATGAGTAGACCCACTTTTTTGGTGATCCCTCAGGACAGGAAGTATGACTTGGTCCCCCTCAGACAGGAAGTAAGAACTGTCTCAGACAGGAAGTTAGGACTGTCCCCTGTCGTGATATATAAGTGGTTGCTGCTCTCGTCTGTATAAGTTAGTACTGTCCCTCAGGGACAGGAAGTAGGGACTGTCTTCAGATCAGGAAGTAGACTGATGTCCCTTAGATCAGGAAGTAGACGTGTCCCTCAGGACAGGAAGTAAGGTACTGTCTACAGAACAAGGAAGTAGCTTGTTGTCCCTCATGCAGGAAGTAGACTGCTGGTCCCTCAGATCAGGAATAAGCTGTGTCCCTCATGACAGGAAGTTTAGACTGCTGTCCCTTCAGACAGGAAGTAGACTGGTGGTCCTCAGGAGGAATTAGCTGTCCCTCAGGAACAGGAAGTAGACTTGTCCCTCAGACTGGGAAGTAGACTTGTGTCCCTCAGACAGGAAGTAGACTGTCCCTCTATGACAGGAAGTAGACTGTCCTTCAGGCAGGAAGTAGACTGTTTCCCCTCAGACAGGAAGTAGAGCCAGACAGGAAGTAGATCTGTCCTCTCGATCTGGAAGGTAGACTGTCCCTCAGACAGAAGTAGACTGTGTCCTCAGACATGAAGTAACTGCTGTTCCCTCATGACAGGAGTTAGACGTTCCCCTCAGACAGATAGTAGACTGGTTGTCCCTCAGACAGTGATAGTGACTGTCTCAGGACAGGAATTAGACTTGTCCTCAGACAGGAAGTAGCACTGTCTCATGACAGGAAGTTAGCACTGGTCCTCGGACAGGAGTTAGACGTGTCCTCATACAGGGAAGTAGTACCTGGTTCCCTCAGACAGGAAGTAGACTGTCTCAGACAGGAGTAGGACTGTGTCCCTCAGCAGGGAAGTAGACTGTTCCCTCATGACAGGAAGAATGAACTGGCTCAGACAGGAAGTAGACTGGTCCCTCAGACATGGAAGTAGACTGGTCCCTTCAGACCAGGAGACGTAGACTTGTCCCTTCAGACAGGGGGGAAGCTACGACGTGTCCCCCCTTTTTTCAAAGGGGAAAAAACAGGGGGGGAAAAAAAGTAAGGGGGGGACCTTGTCCCTCAGACAGGATAGTGACTGTCTCAGACAGGATAGTAGACTGTGTCCCTCAGACAGGAAGTAGCTGTCCTCAGGACAGGGAGTAGACTGCTCCCTCAGACAGGAAGTAGACTGTCCCTCAGACAGGAGTAGACTGGTTCTCCCCTCAGACTAGGATATGTAGATGTCCCTTCAGACAGGAAGTTTGATTCTGTGTCCCTCAGACAGGAAGTATGACTGTGTCCCTCAGATCAGGATAGTTAGACTTGTTCTCAGACAGGAAGTAGATCTGTCTCCTCAGACAGGAAGTAGACTGTCTCAGACAGGAAGTAGACTGTGTTCCCTCAGATCAGGAAGTGCTGTGTCCCTCAAGACATGGAAGTGACTTGTTGTTCCCTCTGACTCATGGGAGTAGGACTGTCCCCTCAGACAGGAAGTTGACTGTTGTCTCCTCAGACGGAAGTAGATCTGTCTCAGTACAGAAGTAGGTACTGTCCCCTTCAGACAGTGAAGTTAGACTGTGTCCCTCAGACAGTGAGTAACTGTCCCTCAGACAGGAAGTAGGACTGTGTCCCTCAGACAGGAAGTAGATCTGGGTGTCCATTCAGACAGGACAGTTAGGACTGTGTTTCCCTCAGACAGGAAGTTAAGACTGTGTCCCCTCAGGATCAGGGAAGTAGACTGGTGTCCCTTCAGATCAGGAAGTTGACTTGGTTGTCCCTCAGACAGGAAGGTAGACTGTTTTCCCTCAGACGCTCCTCACAGGGTCGTGTGTCAGGAACGAGGCGCTGTCCGCGTTTTCCTCGGCTGCACCAGGCCTGAAGAAAAAACTAAAAAAAAAAAACGTATTTGATTGTACCTGGATGGACGGCCCTTCAGCGTCCTCCTTGCCTCGGGCCTCTTGTCGGCGCTGTACCCGGCAGGTGGCCCTCATGTTTGGCGTACTTGGGTTCACACAGCGGGACCCGCTGACGCCTCCCGCTCGTTACGGCTTCTGGGAGAAGGCGGGCTCGAAGGGAACACTCGACACGCTGGAAGGTGTCCGTGGTGGTGGAAGGGGCCAGGGTAGGGCCCCTGGACCCCGGGCCCCTCAGGGGGCCTTGTAGGGGGTCCGGCGGTGGAGGAGGGGGGGTAATGAGGGAAGGGAGGGGGACGCCCACGGTCGGTTCACGGCGAGCAGTGGGCGGAGGACACGCTGAAAGCTCAGGTAATGATGGAGATGAAGTGGAGCTCATACTCTGTCACGGGGAGGACGAACCTACCCTGGAAACATCCTGCGAGCGCCTCAGGTGGCAGCTTCATCCTGCCTTCATCCTGGACAGGTAATCATCACCGTTATTAAATATCACTGGTTATCAGCTGTCACTACTATCAAAAACTCAATAGTATCAGTTATATTCTATATAAATATATCTATATAAAATATATTATATATGTTATATTATATTAAAAGTATTCTTTTAAAATATATCTATATTAAAATTATAGTTCTATTTTAAATATATCTATGATTAATAGTTATTATTTAACAATAATCTATATTAAAAATTATATTATATTAAAGTATCTAATAAAGTATATTATTTAATATATCTTATATTAAGTATATTATATATTAAATATATCTATTAAAGTATTATATATATTAAGTAAATTCATATAAGTATTCTATTTTAAGAGTATATTAATTAAGATATTTATTTTAAAATATATCTATATATAAAGCTTATATTATATATTTAAAATATTTATATTAAATATAATATATAAGTAATATATAAAGATATATATAAATATTTATTATTAAAGTAAATTCACATTAAAGATATCATATAATTGATTATATATATAAGTATATTAAAGTATATCTATATTAAAATATATCTATATTAAAATATATCTATATTAAAG